GTTTTAATTTTTGGCGGAATTTCAGATCAATTTAATTCTCATCCATTTAAATGATCAATTGCAGCGTTGCGACGAAAAGATATTTTCTACAAATAATACTGCAGAATAAAGATTTTTTAAGAATCCAACAAATAAACCATGCGAAAAAACGTCATGTTTCAGTATTATTTGGAGAAAAATAAGAGCTAGTTTTCGCCGTAACGATTTATTTATTTGTTCATTTCATTGTTTTTTTTTTTTGTATATTAAGAAAATGTTCTTAATTTTTTATTCAAATGTGGATTAATGTTGAATGGATTCTTAAAAATAAATTTTTATATCAAACACATGAATAGTTATGATAGAGTTTCATTTACCTGAAATTTTATATTGAATAATTTGTCCACGATCTCATTTTTTCATGCGTCTCCAATGCGCTGGTGTTAATATCATCACAAAATTCGAATAAAAAAATACTTGTAATACTTCCCTCTTTGTTTGTTCAATTTGAAAACTTCGGCCACATTTTACCAAATTTTTTAAGATCGAGAAGAAGAAAACGGTCACAAGCAAGAACAAAAAAAAAACAACCAAATATCAAATATTCTTTGATTTGAATGATTTCTTTATCCCGAAAGCAGTTTGAAACGAATTTGTGTGTGTATTAATTTCAAAAAAATAATAGAAGAAATTTGTTATTTGGTGGAAATGGAACACAAGTGAAATTCAGGAGTGTTTTTAACCAACTGATCGTTTTACAATGGCAACAGCATCCTTTTATACACAGTGCATTCGGGAGTGAGTGTCAACCGAACTTCAATTGGCTACCAACAAGTGTCTCTCCCACTCCCTCGTTCTCACACTTTTGTTCTCATTTTTCGTGTCGTGCGTTACATTTGTACGCAGATTCATGACTTTTCGCCCTTATTGTGTGATTAGTCCAATGCGAGTCAAGTGCTGGAATTGTCTTTATACTGCATATTGCTATTACATTTAAGTGAATAGCAACAAAGATAAAATCATTCACTCCGTTGCAAGAGTGGTGGTGCTCGAATTTTAAGTAGATGACAACAATACGAAATGCACGGTGAAAAGTTATTAAAAGTAAATTTTATCTTTTCTTTATATATATTTATTAATCAAAATAGTGGTGCTTGTTGCTGAAAATTTATGACGACGAAAATTTCCATTTTCGTCATTTTCAATGCATAAATTGAATTATCCAAAGAGATGTACACAACGAACAAAGTCGATTCGAAAAATTTACATTTTTCATTGCCAATCCTTTGATCATTTGGCGAAAATTATAAAAACTAACTCACGAGATTTTAATTTCTCTCTCTCTCTCCCTCTCCCTCTCAACAAACAAATTTAAATTCGAAAAACCGAAAATCCACCAATTATCTCTGGAATGTGTTATAATTTTGCATCGTATTAAATTTCGATTGTGTTTAGGTTTGGGCTCAAAAGATGGAGCTACTTGATTTTTGATTGTGCAGTGAGGACGCACACCGATGACTATGTTACCAACTAAACAGCGATGGAAAATATGCACATCGATTGGTAGACATGTTTAAAGTACACACAATCAAATGTTGTAATTATCAAGTTGCATTGCATATGAACGATGTTGACACCTGGCGCAACTGTATGTGCGGGTGCTTGTCGATGTATTAGTTTGCTTGTTTTCTCTTTTTTCCCCCTTTGTGTTGCATGTATGTCAAAACATTGGACTACTACTATTCGTGTTTCATAGTTGATTGCATCAACAGTCAAATACTGAGAGACTTACAGCTTCAATTACTTGTCTCTGTAAAGAAACACCAAAACACACAAAGGCACAGTAAACTTTTTTCTATGCTATTTCCAAAATAGAAATTACTGTGGAAAAAAATATCAACTATCGAAAGATATACACCAAATTTATGGCTCGAATACGGTGAGCAGTTGTGTTTTTGTGGTCAAATTGGTCTTTCAAATTTAAAAGTGAACAAAATAAAAACACCCTGAATTCGTTATAAAGCACACGCACAGCGTACGAAATGAGTTAAAAAGTACAAAATATTTACAACAATTTTTTTTTTGAAAGCCAATTACACACATACCCATACATTGACCACAAAAAAAGAAGTTTTGTTACATATTGTTGATTTATTTTTTGTAGTTTCTTTACGTAAAAGTGACATTTTCGTCGTGCAATTCGATTTAATTCTGAATTCGTTCGGAAATAAAGTATCAAATCTTATCATTCCAATTGTGCAAAACCACGTACATAAATTATTTAGTTGAAAAGAAACCACACATACACACCAAGTAAGTACATTATTTGTAGTTTGCACTAGGAGAATATGTGGAAGAAGGAAAGAGAGCGTGAGAGAGATAACCCAAACAAATTGTTCAAGAGATTTACAAAATTTTGAAACAGAGAAAAGTTTCCAAATCTCCATAAGATTTATGAAGAAATTTCCAATCGTCTATTTGCACATGTCAAAGACATTGTCTGTGTCAACGAATTACAATGCAAACAAACAACAAACCAAGCAATTCATGTGAAATATTTATAATAAACACCGAAAAATAAATAAATAAATAAATAAACAATAACATACGCGTCGTGAGTTGCCAATAAAACATATGTTTACACATGAACGACAGTAAACCGAAATAATTACGGCATTTTTGTTTCGCTGTATGAATTCGACATTTTAAATTGCATGGATTCAAACACAACTACAAGTAAATTCGAGAATTTCAGAATAAATAATAACAATAAATTATATTCGAGTTTGAATCTCTTTTTTTTATTTGTATAGAAATAGATTTTGTGCAACAAAACGAAACTATTTTGGTTTCGACATTGACGCAAACATATAATAAAATGAATATTCTCTAGAACAAAGTAATTGTAAATAATTTTAGTTTGGAATAGTCTATTCTATTATTTTTCTGCATCTTCTCGAAAATTGCTATAATTTGTCTATTTATTCTTGTTTCAATTGAAAACGAAACAAATGAAAACTGAAATAATTCATTCGCAAAATTCTTCCGAAAGACCAATTCAAAAGACGACAAAACATCAATAAAGTGAAACATCACATCAGGCCGTACGATCAATTTGAATGTCAACCCAAAAAGGTTAAATTCGAAACGAAGAAAAAAATACACTTAAAGAAACCGATTCACGTCAATTCGTTTGTTGTACGAAATCAGTGTGGTGGAATGCATTTGCTGCTGCTGCTGCTGTGCTTACATTGCGTGCCAGTTCAATAAAATCGGTTTATTATTGTATCGGTTTATATGGATGTCATAGAAGTAAGCGAGGCAAAGCCAATTGTTGAATTGATTGGTATTGCGAAGCACTTTAAAAGTGTGTCTGTGCAAGAGCTGGAAATCGTACGCGAATGAAAAAAAAACTCCATGGAGATTACGTGGACGGAGAAGCGAATGCCATATATGGCAGTCAATATATCGGCATGCCATTTCTTCTACAATATTATCGTCATATTTGTAGTGGTTCCGTGAAACTACTACCGCATTTAGTTTACTATCGTATTCGCTATAGTTGTTTCTACTTGACATCAAATGTGTATATTTTTTCGTTGTAATTATAAATATTTCAAAACAAAAAAAATTGTCACATCTCGGGATACAAAGAGAAGTCTTTGGCTTCATTCATAATAAAAGAAAATGTGTTTGATATTTCCACCTGATATTGTTTACGTTCAGATAGAAGAGAAACAACAGTAAAATTCTGAACAAAGATTCGTTTTCGGTGTTTTTTTTTTCGTTTGTTTTTTGTTTGTGTGTTTCGCGAGTGACACATCAGCACATTTTCACAAACACATGCATTCTGGACCATATTGACAGCACAAATTGTGGCACAATATTGATAACCATTGCTGAAAGAAAAAACACACACAACAGCAACCAACTGTATTTCATTCCCCCATTAAATTTGTGCACAAATTCGTGAGGTAATGTTAAACAGAAATGTGCAGAGAACGAGAAAAAAAAACAATTACAATCTAAATATAATATTCGAATGATAAACAAACAAAAATCGAGTGAATCGCAAACACGATAAATTAGCCAAGATGATTTATGCATTCGAAAGCATTACATGTTACAGTATTCATTTGACACTCGCTTGGAATTGTAACAGTGATCAATGTCGAAGTTATTCTCGGTTTAATAAAAAAAATCTAATTAAAATTTCAATTAAAAGCTTAGAGCAAATAAATCCGTTTCATTTTTCATTGGCCAACAGAAAATGTAAATATATTTTTTTGTGACATATGATAAAATTCTTCGTGATTCGTGGGCCTAGCAAACATTTTCAATAAAAAAAGAAGTCACAATTATAAACACGATTTACAAGTTGTGTGATAAGAAAGAAAACAAAATAAATGGAATTCTAGAATGTTGTAGCAGCACCGATAACGTCGTTTTTGCCATTTTAAATTTCCGTGCAAGTTCCATTTATTAGATCGACACATTGATATGCCATCAGTTGCCTTACATTTTATAGCAACAATATCAAACTGATACGATTACCATTACCGTTAGCCTATTTGCCAATGCATATGATACCGAATTACATATAGATCGCCATCGATTTGCTAATGACATTGTCGTGATGCTGATCGCGTCGTGCATTCATAACATCTAGTCGGCGTTGACGTATGTAATGTAGACGTGATAAAACGGCATTAAACTCATACAAAAATTCAGACAATTGATAAACAAACCATATTATTTGCACTTGATCAGTGTTTGGAGCGTTTTTATTCCCTATCTCCGACTCTTTTTTTTTCATTCACAAAATGCTAGCTTTAATTACTGGATCTGACTGAAAACGATTCGAAATTTCATGCTTTCGCTTATAGCATCAATCTACTGGATTTTACAATTATTTCCCATTTTAAATCGCCAAATCAATGTCGGCGAACAATCATATTAAATAATGGATGTGTGAGAATGCGTTAGTGAGAGCACTTTTTTCGTGAATTATAATTAAAAATTAACAGAGCGAAGTATGTTGATTGAATCAAGTGTTAAGTTTTGTAATTTAAGTGCAAATTGAAACCACATGCTTTCCATCTTTCGGAAAGTTCTTTAAAAAAGTGATCGCATAAATTGGCAAAATGTGTTGTGTGTCCATCTTGAATAAATTCGGTCGCATTTCATATTGAAACAAAATACATGCATTTGAGTCATAGTAGCGACTATTGATATGGGCCACTTTGCACGAGGAAAAATAATCTCAGTCGGAAATTATCAGACATATGTAGATTTTTCAGCTGTTTCATTTCTCTTTGAATGGATCTATTGTGTGCGCGTGATTGTTTTATTGAAAAAAGCCAGTTCAATGTGAAATAAATAACAAAATCAACAGAGAAAGAGAGATTGAGCAGAAAAGAGTTCAACATTTGTTTTCTTTTTCTTTGACGTTTTTAGATCAGCTGAGACTATATCAGAATTTGATTTATTTATAGCGACGTGCCTACTACTTTGTCACTCGCGTGTTCCTTGCACTCACTCTCTCATAAGCATAGCTTCAGAATTTAAGTTATTTTTCTCGTTTTTTTTTGTTCAAACATTTTCGGTCAAAGTCATCATTTTTCTCTCTCATTCGAAACAGAAATATTTCAGTATGAGTTAAAAAAAAAATTGCACCGAATCGGATTAAGAAGCCATAAGCACGTGAGCTATGTAAATTGCGTGTGGCAATACGCGAATGTCAAAGTGGTACACTCTCACTCTCTCGGTTGGGGTATTGTTTTCAAACAAAAGATAAATATAAACAAAACAAATCCTCAGCGTTTTCGATGTAAAACAAAAAAAAAATCTGAAATGAAATAAATCAAGTCATTCTTTGTTCTCATTTCAGTCGTGACCGAAATTAATCAATTGTTTCCAACACATTGAAAACTGAATTCAGCGGAATTAAACTTAAAATAAACAGCATACAGCCAGCACATCAAACTTGAGTTTGATAGAAACAAAAAATAACACGTTTTTTTCGCTATCTTTAAGTGATAAGTCAAATTAAAAGACCAAGCAATTTTCGGAGAAGAAAAAAATGGGCGACGAAATGGACGAATGTGCATGCTTTTGGAGCCATGAATTCGCTATGCGACGACTGTTGGCTTTAGTAAGCAATTTTTCTTTCTTCTTTTATAAGAATTTATTATTATAATTTTTTTAAAAACTAAAAAAATCAATTTCCGATGGAATATAGCTGAGGCAGGGCCAAACTCATTGTACAGACACCGAATGTTTCGATCGTGAGTAAAATATTGTCATTCAAAACCGTTTAAAATGATATTAAATAATTTATTTATTGGTTTTTTTCTTCTTCATCTATCAACTCACAGCTCCAACGCTGCCGGATAGTCAACGTGGTGGCGCTGACAGCGGAAGTGATTTTATGTTCATGTCAATTCTGTTAATTTGTGCTGTGATATTATATATATTCCGACCGAATCCATTGCGACGATCCAGATTGGGTGATCAGGACAAGTCTTCACGGCCACCTAGCGATCAGAATGTAAACAGTCACATCAAAAAAAATTAATCAACATTTTCTTTTAATTTTTGAAATTATTTTTCACACTAATATTAGGGTCCAGATGGAACACCACCAGCTTTACATTGACCTAGAAACACATAAATAAGAACAATAACGACACAAGACAGACGATGCGAATGCAGATTTTAAATTGTAATCCATCCTATAGCTGGAGGGAAAATATGATCACCCCAAAAAAGACATTTTATTTACAATTATGAGGTGAAAAACAAACAAGCAAAACACTTTAAACACGTAAGAAACTGTCTCTGAATGTCCAAACAACAAAATGTTACGCGGAATTATTCCAACTGTATTTTTTTTTTGTCCAACTCCTCAGAATATCCATTTGCAATTTAATTATTTCTATTATGTTATGATATCGTTATTGAGGCATGTTTTGCAAACAACACACACACATCACTATTGCAATTGTGTATGTTTTATTAAGTTAAAAGAAAATTTATCAAAAATGTTATGATATAATCAATTGCAATATAATATGCGTTTGAAATTTATAAATGAAATGAATCTCAATACAAAATCAATATATCATCATTAAATTTTTGCATGTTTGGTATATGGTCGTTTATGTAACATTTATCTTCCTAACTAATCTTATTATGATGGGAATTTCCAATATAGAAAACGCACAAAAAAATTCACAAAAAACAACATTTTTTAAAATAAATTAAAATCAAAATGAAATTCAAGTTTTTTTCAACTCGTATACACGATAATGTGCAATTTAGTGAAAGTAGTTTGAAAACAAAATGATTTAAGAACATTCGTCTTTTTGCCAATTCTTGTGGTCTTATGAAAGATTCTCTTTTGAAAGGAGTTTGAGAATCTCTTTATTGGAAATTCTTACAATGTTTCTTATGTAATAATGATTCAAAACAAAAATCGCAAACACACACTTATATATACACAAAATTGAATTTATTTGAAAGGCCTATTAGTGATATTGGAGCACAGCCCAATTTAATTGCAAATCACCCCACACTCATGCGTTTTTTTTATTTTTAGTTACACATATACAATTTATTGTAAATCCTGATAAATTCAATAAAAAAATCTATTAAATTCAACGTTGATTGTAAGTGATTTTTTGAAATAAATTGCCAACTGCTCAACTTTTTTTTAAAGCACATCCAATTTAGTTGTAACACTTTGCAACGGCAAATTTAATTCTAATTTAAATATAGGACGTTTTTTGGACTAATATTTTGTTTTTTAAATAAAATGCTTTTTTCTACAAATGCAAGACAATAGTTTTGTAGCACTTCATCCGGTGTATTATTATTAATATAAGTTTTAATAAAAAAAAGCAGAAGAAAGCCGAGCGAAATAAATGTGTTATGTTAGGAACTGACAACTATAGGGCATTTTGACTGGAAAAAATTGTTAAATTTAATAGGAAATTCGATTGATACTATAAATTTTATTAAAGCATTCACTAAACAACTCTGAACATTGACTATTATTATTTGAGTCTGTTGATTTGCACATTTGTTTCACATCCGAAAGTTCGCGTCACAGGCACAGATTCAGCAATACACCGATAGATGGCGTAAGCTGGTCATATTCAACAATTCGAACGACAACCAGTTTTTGTTCATCGAAAGATCAAGATTTGAAACTTATTTATACCAAATATGCCGCATTATGTATGTATGAAAAACCAAGAGACTATTTCGCAGAATTTATAAAAACAGTCATGACCAGTTATCAATACCAAAAACTTCGTTTTTAAAAAACGAAATCTTTTTTCATATTCGTTTGATTTGAGTAATTTCGAAATATTTTCCCCGAACAAATTTGATTTATACATAAAATCTTGAGCAAAACGAAAAAAAAATCGTGATGAACAGGGAAAGAAAATCATTTAATTTCAAAAACCACAAAAAGATTTGTTTGCAAAAACAAAAGAAGAATTTGCGATGGTGCGTTGACATATATCGATACATTTGCAACATTTGAGCAAACCAATATCGCCCATCATAAAGTGTATGTGGTGGAGACTAACGATGCGGCGGTGGCGTCGATGCCCGATCAGCGTATTGCGTTCACATCGACACAATGAACAACACAAAACGAGATGGCGCGTGTGCGCGCCTAGTGTTTGCGTCGCGTAATTTGCAAGCATGCTTGATTCACAAAGCCACACTTTAAACGATCATTTCACCGCTGCAGTAGTTCATAATACAAACAAGCGTACAAACAGTTGGTCGCATAAACAGTTCGTCTCTCGTTGGCTGCTTTTTTTTTTAAAAAAAAAAAAGTCTTGTGCGGTACGAATGACGACCGTGGCTGTGGTGTGTTTTTTTTATTATTTTATCAGAAATATTAATGAGCGAGAAAAAAAACGAAAAGAGAAGAAGGGTTGGACAAGAGAGCAAGCACAGTTTTTAAAATCCAAACATCTGTCGACAGAAGGAGTTCAGCCAAAACAACAAATATTGATAGAAACACTATAAAGTTTCAAGTGTAAATCGTGCAATAAGCCATCAAAAATACAAAACAAATGCGCTCCGGTCGAAGCAACAAAAATAAAAAAAGTTACGATTAAAATTGTGTTGGTTTATCGGAGCATTACAAATATCATTTCTCAGTTCAAGTGCTCAAATTCAGAAAGTTTTTTTTTATTTTGTTTTTATTATTTTCGTTTGGAAAGTGAATGAGAAATTTTTTTGTTTTTTTTTTTTGAGATGTTTTGGAACGTTGTGCAAGCACTGTGTACAAGAATGCTGTAAAAAAAATTTGACTCGAATATTCAGAACAAAATTTGTTGGAATTGATGTAGCGCAAATGTGTCATTATGAAGTCATATTGGTCGTAAATGCTGTGTTAGATGTGGGATTTTCAATTGACGATCGCATGACAACAGTACAAAAAGACGGTATAAAAGTCATCTGGAAATCTGACAACAAATCAACAACATCTTAAACTCCATTGTTTTGAGTACAATTTGTCTTTCTGCAAGCAAAACAATCTTGTTGTTTCAAAGTGTACAAACGAGAGTAATTGTGTCATCGATATAGAATAGATATATCGAATGAAACCTCCCTCCCCTCAATAATTGATAATGAAATGTATGCATCAAAATTGGCGAAAAAATCGACAATAATAACAAATCAAAGCCGATTGTGATTGATAGTGAATGAAATATTTCCAATTAATTTTTCGTTTCGAGTTTCAATTAGAGAAGATAACAAAAATACATATTCTAAAAATAATAACGATTTTTGATATTGCGTATGATTTGTTGTGTGTAAAAACGTGCAGAGAGAACCGTCATAGTACAAGCCAAAAACCATTCCGATGCAAATCGAATAATTATGATCAATTGAAAGCATTGCCATTGAGTGTATGCGTGCGACGAAAAATAATAAAAAATAAACAACAATCATTTAATATCCATTCAAATAAACATAGTTTTACATTGTGCCTGTGTGTAAATTAAGTCGAATTGCATTGTGGATCGAAAGAGTCGAATCGAGACTTGACAATTGAACAATAATAAGCAAAGACGATTGTAACTTACAAATACAATATATTCAATAAAAGTCAATATGGTGTATGGATCATAAAACGATTTTAATGACCACATGTTTTGCCGTATGTGACAAAGGGGACGATTCGTCTGAGAAAAATACCAGAGTGAATGAGTGCGAACATATGTCAAAGAGCAGTAAACAAATCGTATCGCATGGAATAGTATACATCGTTTGATTGTGAAAGAAGATCGTGCCAAACAATTGCTGTCAATTCGAATGAAATTAACAAAAGCATCATAGTCCATTTTACCGATTACAACTCTCTCAGTTCGAATTTGTTGTCATCGACACGATTTAATAAAGCTATTTAATTAAAGCGTTGGTACGCGTTTAATTTGTTGTGTGTGTTTTTTTTTATCGAAGACCGAAAAAAGAAGAACAACTACCTTAACAGTATTACAGCTGAATAATCAGAAAAAAAGACTTCTTTTGCTACAAACAAACGACGCCTAGGCGAAATAAGTAAAGACATATCACTTGTAAATAAAAAAGCAAAGAAAAGAAAAGATCCGAAACATAAAAGGCCAAAAATAAAAAAGAACTCGAAAAAATACAAAAGAACATTTTATGGTCGTGTCTTGAACCAAGTTGCCACTGTAAAGTATACATGTTTTGGTGTAGCCGGAATGGACATTGAAGTAACCAAAACAGTGATAACGGTAAATGCACAGACCAAAAACACGTTCAAACATTGACATTAAAAACAAATAATAAGTGAATCGTAAACTGCGGTAAAATTTACCATTTGTATTTAAGAGAAAATTCTGCATTTACTAAGTGCTGCACAGTACGAATTGATGAAAACCAACGACTGCTTTAGTGACACATAGCCAAAGCGATTCTCATCGAAACACAAAGATTTATAGCCGATAACAGCCGAAGCAGACATATACACTCAAACCGAACGTTGTTCAACATATATGCACACACATCATCAACATGATTCACTATAAATTATTAGTCGTCCATTGGTCTATTTTCACATTGTCCGTGCAGCTGATTTACTGTGCATCATTGCACTCAAGTAAGTATCACATATCTATAGGTTTTTCTTCTTCTTCATTTTCAATTCAAATTTGACAGTCCACCGTCGAAGTTCCATATTATAAAATTTCAATGGTTGAGAGAACAGCAGTTTGACAGAAAAAAATCATCAATTCAATAAATATGCATTAGCAAATAAAAAAAAAGTTACCCGTCGCACTTGTTATATGATTCAGTTTTTGTTGTTGTCGCAGTCGCCGTTGCTTGAACGATAAACACCTGTTGCTCGCTACTTTCTATACCGTTTCACATTGGTGACGCATGTTTTGCACGTTCGCGTATTTATTTCAATTCATTTGAATTATTCTATGACACTCCGTATCGAAATCGAATGAAACGAGGCAATACGATATATTTATTTTTCTTTTCTGTATATTTTCTTTTTTGGACGTTTACATTTCACATTTCGAATGAATGGCAATTACTTTTCTGTCTTTTGCCAATGAGAAAGAGACGCACAAAGTGGAAGCGAGACAGCAATGAATCGTGTAATAGATTATGTCCAATTACATTCGCCAAATCAGACAAATTTGCCTATATAAAAAAAACGGTCAACAGTCCATCTTATCTCGACGGAATTAATGTGTAACACTTTTTTTTTCGTACACCGCGCGAATAATGAAAAAGTACCGTAAAAACGGTTTTTGTTGATTTGATGTTGTTGTTGTTGTTTTTTTCGTTCGATCGAATAATATACAAAGAATCACTGTAAGCTCAATTAAAAAAGAAGAAGAATGAATCATGTTCTAAAGAAACTGTTCAAATACACATCAATAGAACAAATCTACACACATGAAGGAGAAAAAAACCTCCGCAAAAAAACCTTTCTCATGTCTATTTAAACGATACCACGAATAGAGCTGAGACACAGAGATATATGTATACGTGTATATCGAGAGGTAGAAAAAAATGAATTGTTGTCTTTGTTAAATGGCAAAATGCTATTTTGAACTCGGCAATCAAACGATTGCAATCAGTTTGATGATCATGGAAATTTTTCATGTAGATATATAAAGTAGAGGAATAAAAGAAAAAACCAACAAATCCATACTAATAATAGTGGTTGAAGATAAAGAATGTACCAGTTCTTACGTTTTTTGATCGTACTTTTAATCGCATACTCCAATGTCGAATTTTATTGACCGATTTCATATGTATCGTATAAATCGACTGATTTAAATAAATTCATTTGTTCGTCTACTTCTTCGTTTCTCTCGTTCAACGATATAAGTTGTTGGATTGCACAGTTTGAGCTGAGCGTGCATTTTTCAGTTCCAAATTTTCTACATCAGTAAACCGGTGACTTGAAAAAAATGTTTGGCATTTGTTACGCTACACGGCGACGATCACAGCACTGAAATCAGCTGAACACCGATTTATGTGTACTTTCATTCTCTCAATCGCTTGAAATAGATACGTATCGAGATGTCGTTGTCAAGAGAACTGCCAAATTATAATCATCATTAAATTGCTTATTTGTTCTGTATGCCGATCTTAAGAGACCGAAGAAAGAATCCCTCCAACAACAAAAAAATTGTGTATAATAAGCACAAATTTCATAGTTATACACATATCCAGTGCAAATTTGTGGAAATGTTTTTTTTCCTTTGCATTTTGCGTCGAATTTGTGCGCGAGTCGTTTAAATTGATAGAAATCAGAAATATTCATGCTGAATGCTTCTGCTGTTGACGCACACCTGTTTCGAAGCCGAAAACTTAATGAGTGTTAAAACCTGCATGGTCTAGGTGCACCAAGATACCGTTGTTCTCTGTTTTTCGCAGCGCATGTGATTGAAATAAATAAAATACGATGCATAATGCACCAATGAATACCGAAATATACCTCAAAATAGAGCGAAAGAACGGCCGCAATAAAGTAAACGACGATCAACAACCAAACAGCAAATTGTAACGGTGCAATAAAAATTTTTTTCGTAAGCTTGGCACCAAACGAAACCACATCGCGATTACTCTGAATTGAAGACGAAAAAGAAGAATAAAAAGCAACCTAACATCTCGCATTAAGAGAACACAGCCTATGTTTTTTTTTGTGTTTCTCTTTCCAACTTAACATAGTTGCATAGCCATTTTTCTCATGTTTGCGGTGGGTTTAGTGTTGATTTTTAATTGAGACGCATTTTTCATTTTCTGCTTTACATCATTTTCATAATGATGATTCTCATTCATTGAAAGCCAAAAAAGTAAACGAACGAAAAAAAAAAAATTAAAAATCGGATACATGCATACATGTGATATCATCATCCTTGCTCTCATTCGTGTCATGCGTTTAAATACACACATTAAACATTATTGCATTTGCACAAATGAAATACAAAACAAAATTGCTACCGATTGAAATGATATTTCCACTAAAAATAGACATTTTATGGAGTGCTGTTAGCAGAAATGCTCGCGATTCAAATCACACGAGGGCAAATGAAATGCTGCATTTCAAAAGGTTTTTTTTTTCTCATTTAATTCGAACACATTTAGCCACGACATGCGTTCGATGGTATTGTGTTGCTCTTTTCTTTTGTCTATCTTTTATTTGTGTGCTTCGAACTTGATTTGGATGTTTTTGAGAAGCGTGGAATATATGTTTCACAAATATACTACATAATTCCATGACGAACGATGCAAACAAATGGTTCCGCTTTGACTTTCGCTTTATTAATTTTTCATATCGCTTGTGTGTACGAATGGCGTTGCTTTGCTTATCGAATAATGTGAATGTGAATTTTGATCGATTGCAAACGTGCCAAGTTGCCAACAGCAATTATAAAGAGACAGCGCCCAAATTGTATGTCGCTTCATATCATTCAGTTCAATAATAGTAATTTCAAGCGTTTTTTTTTGTTATTTATCGAAAAAAGGCGCTTTTTGGACTGTGTAAACAAAGCCGATGTGCATAACGAGTATTATATCAAATTTATATGTTCTGCCAAAAAAACACAGCTATAATGAATTGGTATTTCCCAGCAAATCCGGTATGAAATCGTCTTTTTGATGGGTCGGTGTTTATCATTCAAAATTTATGAATTTTGCTTTATCTCGATGGTTTTCGCGTCATGTGCATCCGTTAGACACATCCAAGCTATAAATTTCAACATAAGATGAATAACAAAAATGAGTCAATGGAACGGCAAAATGAATCTATCATCATCAATTGACACAAATTGGGCACGATGTGCCGTTGATTTATATATGCGTCAGTAATCATTCCAGTTTGGTTTGTTTGTTTACGCATACTCGTCGTTGATCCATTTCTAACATCCCGGCGTATTCGTCACACGTGAATGATGAAGAGAAAAATAAAGCTATTTGCCTTTAATGTATTGCCAAAGAAAAGTATTCGAAACTGAATCGCTTCAATACTCTTTGTGTACGATACACGAAACAGATGAACCACATTAACTGCTGGAAGCGGGCGCTTTTGTTGTTATTCTGCTGCTTTTTTGCATACCGATTGCATAATTACAATTGCAAATGTTCAAAACAATGACTGCTGTGAACGTTCGGTTATGTGAAGAGACACAAAAATCGGCATTCGAACGACAATTCACATACGATTACGATTCAATTGCAATAAGTAGGAAAATATTTGCTTTATGACAATTGCGTAACCAAATTCTACATTCGATATTGAAGTTTTGGCGCATATTGTCGAGCGATTTTGAATAAACGGCTACTTTTCCGGGGGGGCCATACACACGCACAAGCGCACCCATCATTTGTTCTCGATTCATAAATTCATTTGTTTGCCATTCGTTTTTTATTTCCAGTTTTATTCGATCGAAGTATACAGGTCAGTTTAATCGATATCGCTTATAATCAATGAACGACAAACAATTACATCGTTACACATTGAGGTAGTGTTTCTAATATTTAAAAAAAAATTGCTTGTTGGCGGTGACTTAAAGAAATTTTACTTCAACTAATTGTAACAATATTGTCACACACACATTTGGTCTATTCCATTATTTTTGAAGTGCATGAATTGTGTGAGCGAATGAGAGTGACCTTTGGACATAGTCTTGAGAGAGATAATTATGATTAATTCGTAAATATAACAATTTCGGAGCAATCTCAATTTCATTTATTTATGATTTCATATGGGATCGATTCAATCATAATGTCATCGCCGATCCATTGTGACAGTGTGCAGTGCTGGCCACTTATCGTTCAGCGCCCATTGTTTTCAAATGGCATAATTGACTTGCATTCAAGGTAGTTAAATTAGTCGTTTGATGGTGGTCACCAGGCGAAGAAAAAAAAAACCAAAACAAAAGCTTTTAAGTACACGTTTTTAAGATTGTTTTTGTTTTCCATTTGTTGTTGACAGCGATCATTGTTACATTGATCATTTTCTCTCTTCCTCGCAATGAATGGCTCTTATTCAATATTTTAACGTGTCCAAATGGCCAGTGACAATATGTAGTACACACACCGAAAACACATAAAATGTAAATGGAAAACACTCACTAAAATTATAGCCAATTAAAGAGGTTCATTGTGTTTGACCTTTGTGAATAGACCTTACATTTATTTTATTTAACGTAATGATTTTGTTTGAAATTATGTCTTAGACACTCTCACTCGCAAAGCAACAAAAACACAGCACCAGTTGCTGCAACCGCGCGCGATTTTCGGTGCTAGCAAAAATACGCGCATGTGATCGGTTGTTGTGTGTTAGAATTTATGCGATTGGTGTCAGATCATGTGGTTGCAAAATTAACTTAAGCATTCAAAACTGCAAACTTTATGTCAATAATCATTTGTCCGTTGAGCACGCGAATGACTAATTTAATCATTGTTCAACCGTTTCAAATTTGTTTTCACATCTCTTGCTATCCTCGTTCGCTCTCTATCGCTCATTCTGTCGTTAACTTTAATTCAATTAAAATGGAATTGATCGAAGACGCGCGCGCGCCCACTTTTGGTCCAAAGAGTTGGTTTATGTTGTCATGAATTGCCGTGCTG